GATTTCTGTGGGAGTTTCATACTTGTCTTCTAGATTCTGTTTTCTTTTTTCACTTCACTAGATCCCTGTTTAGTCTCACCTACAGATCAAAATTGAACTCTCCAGAGTTCATGAGAAAAAAGTCTGTTAGCAAGCCTTACCTGCTTTTGCTACAGCAGACACTGATCTATGCTGGTTACATCTATGAGGTGAGATTTGTCACTTGGATCTGTCTGGCTTGGCAGAAGTCACGTCTCAATTCCTGAAGTTCCTAATGTATTTTTGTTGTGCCAGTATCTTTATGGGATACCTGCCTGTACAAATGCGTATAGATCTGTTAGTTATGGAGCAGCAATTTATCTTGCTAGCTTTAATTGAAATGACTCTTCACACCAGACAAGCTTAAAGGTGAATGTTTGGTTTGGTTCCAGAGAAACAAAAGGTTGAGCTCTTGACTAGTTAGTTAGAAACAGAGTTGCAGAAGAGGACAACTAAGACAATGGAGATAACTTTTGGAGAATATCTGTCAACTGTGGATTTTTTTTGTAGTTGTCACACAAGCTTTTTAGTGTGTATTTCAGGCATAAATATGAGCAAATGGCAGCAGCCCATATTGTGGATGCTTTTTTCTTGGAAAGGGACTTCAAAATGGCTTTGGGGGCTGATGAGCCCCTTTTTCTGTCCTCATCAGGCCAATCAGGGAAACAATACCATGACCCCTCTCTCTCTCCCCCCCATTGCTCGTGATGTCCCTCTTCTCCTGATTTCAGTTTTCATGTGGTTTATTTAAGTATTCCATTTAATGCAAGTATACTAAGTGGTTCCTGTATAGTCAAGGAATTAGCAATGGTCTTGTACTCCTTTGACGTTTTAACTATTGTTTTGCTAACTTCTACTTTAACTGCTATTCCTGTTGGTTCCATTTTTAAGACCTTTAGAATTTTAGAAATGATAGATCAAAGAAACGCTCTCACTGCGTTCTGTAAAATTTACACATCTTGGGGTTACATTAGCTTTTCATGATCAGAAAATATAATTTATTAATGTAGATAGTAGAGTTTGTATCCAAGCACTTAATCCAAAGTACTGCTTTGTAACATTTGTGTGCTTTAGAGATTCACTGTTTGCAAATAGTTAAATCTCTTTTCACTTTTCAAACTAAAATCCTTGTGTCTCCTTTAGACATCCCATTGTGAATTTCTAGCCATCAATTTAAATTCTACTTGATAAAAATGGACCTATTAATTTTCCCCTGCTGTTGTCTTTGTCATTCACGTCAGATGAGGAGGATGACTTTACCATCTGGCATGTAAACTTCACTTTGGGCCTTTCTCTAAATGTTTGTGTTTGATGTGTGTCCAAATCTTGCAGATTCTTTCTTTGAGACCTTTGTTAGATATGGCCTATTATAACCATTACCACAGTTAAAGTGTTCTTATTTTGCATCTTAATTTCAGTAATTCCTTATTCTTGGCCAATGCAATGTTATCTAGTCATTTAGAATATTCTGCAAGATCATTCTCCTGCTTTGTAAAATCAAACTGTATTTATGTATCTGATTCTCCTTCTTTCTATCCAAAACTTATTTGTCTTTGCCTTCAAACTTTTCATGGCTTAAGTGCATTCTAGTATCATCCTCCCCAAGATTTCGATTCCTGCCGTTAATTGGCTCATCAAACCAGCCCACGTTGGCCAGCTGTTAGTTTTCTTTCTATAAAGTCCCTGCATTCCTTATAAACATCTTTCTAGAAAATCATTTTTCTCTTCCAAATTCCTCCTTAAAGTCTTTTTGCTGTGATGTCTAAATAAAAGCTGGACAAGACTTATCCCCTGGTGTGCTAAGAATTCCGCCTGTCGAGCTGACCAACGTCAGATGTTCATAAAAAAGGACTGGAGGGTAATTATTCACTGTATTTTAGCTGATCTTCGGCAACTGTCCATGATTGTGCCCTTAGCCTGTGGCAATGCAAAGTAATTTGAGTTAGCATAGTCGTCTTTCATTGACTGCAAACTGCAACTTTTTATAGTTAAATATTTATTAATGCTTGAAACCCTTTTCTTGTACTAAAACTGTGCCCTCTTTCATTGAGAGCTAATGTAACATGAATTGCCTTGCATTTACTGTGGGCTGAGAGTGTGCACATGGACAGTTACCTGGCAGTTATCTAGCATAACAGTAACCGTACAGTTCACAGCAGACTGCCCATAATTCAGAAGGCACAAGGTGAAATACTTGTAAGTGGGGAGAGGGACTGAGGATTACACAAAATTCAGAAACATAATTTCACCTTGATTTTCACTTCCAGTCTGTTAGGTTCTAGGATCTTGTGTGCTTTTAATTTCTCTACTGTAGTAAAGTATGTGCTCCACTGACCATATATTATTCTTGATGTTTCTTCAAATAGAAAATAGGAGGCGTTTGAGGATATGATTTCCAACGTGGCAGTGGCATTTTCTTCCTGAAAATTCATCAACCTTTTAGCATGCTGTTGTGTTCTTCCACTCCCTATTCTTTCCTTCCTGGGAAAGAGAGTTTGAGAGAGATTGTAACTTGTAAGCTTGTCTTTATGGACTTACATAAGCATGTCATGGTATTTTAGAGGGATACAGTGTAAAAGCTATCTATCTATTATTTTTATTGTAATCGTGTGTAGGTTTTTGGAGTTCGGGTATAGTCGAAGAAATACAGTGAGAGAAATTTGGAGGTGGGGTTAAGGTTCCTTTAAGAGCTCGTCAAATAAAAATAAAGAAGATATATATTTATTTTTCCCAGAAGAGTAATCTCACTGCTGTGTTTTCCAAGCTGCACTTAAAGCTAATATGTGAAGAGTAAAAATAATAGTTAAAAATGATACGGTTTAGGCAGTATGCTGTATTTTATTCTTAAAAGCGTTTCAACAGAGGCTCTCTTCTGGTAGTTATTTTTCAGAGGAAAAAGTTAAGTAGCTGTTACGTAGACTGCATGAGTTTTTAACAAAATTGTTACCGACTGGGTTTTACCTTAGTAAATGTATTTGTTCTTCCTATTTTTTATGAAACTATATATTCTACGTTTAGTATTATGAAAAACTGTACTACACACATTAGTGTTAATAGCTTAGTATTTTAGTCCTTCACAAATTAATGCCTGTGGTAACTGGATGATTTTAGGCCTGTTCTTATAAACAAGGCCTTACTGATGTGAAAGGAACAGTAATATGTGGCAAAAACTCCACATTAACCAAGGTAAGCAGTATAAATGGGGTGTAGGAATCCCCTGTTAGACTAAAAATCTCCAAGAGAAAATCTCCAGAGCCTACAAATTAAAGACCTCCAATATCATTCTAAAATAAAGCCTTTTATGTAGCAGGAGAGCATTTTTTCAGCTGATAATCAAATGACAGTATTATGCAGGCTTACTAGATTTGCAAATTTACAAGTTTTTACAAGTCAGTTGGGTCCCTTCCTCAGGAAATCAGTTTAAGTTTTTTTTTCCTGTATTGACTCAAAGAGCCTGGTTGTCCTTAAATCCTTCTGAATATATTTGCCTTATAATTTGTCGGCATTGAGTCAACACCCTTATAGGAACAGTAATGCAATAAAAAGAGAAACTGTTCAATATAGTTTCCAGTTACCTTAGGATCAGGTTTGGAGAAACTGGAATGTACACAATAAAACCTGTGCAAGACTTGAGTTCCATGTTGTTTTGGAAGCAACCACTGCTTTTCAACATAAAATACCATTTGAAAGCTTTGCTCTGCTTCCAATGGTTGTAAAATGATAAAAATGAAAATGTGTGTGACTCTTGAAATACGCATTTTACTGTTTTTAATTTTCTGAACCGTATCTTTGTGGAATTGAAAACTTCATATGCAAGTAACAAAGCGTCAATGTTTTTACTCAGCTCATTTTTTGATTGTAGTGAATGGGTTTTTTCTACCGTGTTCTGTAATAAAGTTCTTTATAACTCATTTACATTTTTTACTTAGAAAAAACATGTAGATTCAGATGTGCTTGGTGAACTCTATTTTGTAAAAGTCTTTAGATTACACTGGAATCTCCAATATGCATCATGCTTGCAAACAGAATGCTCAAAATTTAGTTCTTTTTCAGGTTTTTGTATGTAGTTAGCAGTAAAGTTGTTACAAATTTCTTGTGTGTATCAAGAAATAAATTTGTCCTTTATTTCAGATATGAATTTGTTGCATTTGACCGTATAATCTTAATTGTGGTTTCATTTTAGTGTTGCAAATAAAATTAATCTGAGGTAATCAGTTATTTTTATTTTGGCAAATGATTATAAAAAAAAGAAACTTGTCTTTGCATACATATGTAAAGGAAAAGATTACATCTGATATGTTTCCAATGAATAATTTCTAAGACAGATAACTAAATGGGCTCCATTGTAGTAATTTTTCCTTTTTTTCAACTTATTTTAGTTGACTTGGAGCATATGCGCACAGTGAAAGTTGACAAGCATCAACGATTTTGTCAGGAGAACAACTTCAGTAGCCATTTCGTGTCGGCCAAGACAGGAGATTCTGTAAGTAAGAAAAATAAAATCCTTGTAGATGTCTTTTTTTTTTTTTTTTTTTAATTTTGAGCAAGCCATTATTCTGGTATATGATGTAACAGTTTTATTATACTTCACATATGAAACCATTGAGAACTTTGGCTGCTGCAGGTCCTTTTTGCCTACCTACTTGTGTGAAAAATAGATCTTTGTATAAGTGTATGCGTTCTTTATTAATTACAGTGGCTTCTCATCTGATTTGAAGTTTGAGGTATAGATTTTAATATGGAAAAGGTTGAGCGTATACATCAGCATGAGAACCGAGACCAGCTGGATCTCCGTTTGCTGTCAGCCTGTAGTTAAATATGTGCCTTCAGTCCAGGTGGAGTCCCATCTACAGACCATCAATATAGAAACTTTCAACAGCTGATAATGTCACAAGACCCTGTTGTGATCAAAGTTTTTAATACGGGTCCTGAGCCATGAGAGACACTCCCTCTGCAGGTCCATTGAAATTTGAACATTCTGGTATTTGTAATGCTTTGCAGAGCACATTTTTGAACAATCTTTTGACTCTCAGCTAAGTGGGTTATTTGTTTTGGAAGCCTATGGAAGAAAAGGTTCTTTTTCAGTTGACTGTATCAGTCAGATTAACTCACACTGTATTGTTTTGCTTGATTTCCGTCACATGCCCAATGACTTTGTCGTTTCCGTCAAACAGTCCTGTATCTGTCTCCTATTTATGACAACATAATTTGCTTTATGTTATTGAACAGTAAGACCATGTTCAATTATGTGGAACTATAATTGTAACACAAATGGAATCATTTGTTGTTTTAAGATCTCTGATGAAACTTCTACATTGGACTGCCTGATTTTATAAGATAATAGTTATTCTGTAAAGTCTAACAATACTGCTGTTACAAATGCAGTGAATCCTGATTCTCCTTATAGTTTGTGTTAAATCTTTGGCATACATTTCTGTTTAAAGTGTGAAAATTCAAGCTTTTTATGCTAGAAACAAGAAAAATTTTATAATACTTCAGTCAATGAAGTGTGCATCTGATAAAATGTATTCCTTTCTCAAGGAAACAACCTTTTTGTGGGATTTGGTAATAGGAAGAAAAAGAGGTTCTTTTTATAAGGTTGATATATTTAACATTGCAAATTATGAGGGAGTCTTTATTATATCTTTTTAATTGATTCATGAATTACAGCAGCATCCCCCTATATATACAGATTGTACTTTTTTTAACTTACTGTTTAAAAACAAAAGTAAATCTGAACATACCTGGAAAGCATTAACCAGAAATCTCCATTTAAATATCTAGTAACAAAAGAAGGTATGAAATATAGTTCACAGTAGTTCATTTTTAGTTTCAATATAGACTTGAATTAACTCTTCCACTGTTACTGCACATTGGCCTTTCAAAATCTTCATGTATTTGGGTAGCTGTGCAGGAAAGACAGGGTGTTTACCCTAGACTGATTTAAGAAGAGGCCATCCATTGCTGCTGTGGATATAGACGAGAGGAGTCTTAAATACTCAGTTAAGATAAATGATTTGTTTTGTTTACCTCAGATCTTTCCAACAGACTCATTTGCAAAAAATAATTTTATGTACATAGAAAAGCCCAAACATCTCCTCAGAGGAGAAAAGCTTTCATACAAGGTTTAGTGTAGCTAACTGTCTTACTATCCATCAAATTGCATAACTAAAGCACTGAACTCGCACCTGATGTTATGTGCACAAAGCATCCTCATGGTAGGTGGTCTGGCTCAGTACACCTGAGAGCCTGCTGTGGGTTAAGGTAGGTCTCTGGAAAAGGTAAGCCTGTTCAGGATTTCCTTGCTTGCTGTGTGGATCCTAGTAGAGTTGGCCAGTACTAGACCAAGTAGTTCAGAGAAAGAGAAGTTCTTTTGGAAGCTACTGTGGCTTGTTGGTTGTGCCACTAATTTTTTACTAGTTTCCATGTCAGGTATAAGAAGAGATTGTGTAAATGGTATTTTTTTGAATTTTCGTTGAAAATTACTAAAAGCACTTACACAGGCCTTATCTTTTGGGGGTGGCAGCTGCATGATGAAAAGCAATGTTTCTTAGTAGTTTAGATTGTGAGCTCAGTTGAATAACCATGTAGGTAAAATATAATGTGTAGCTTGACAATACAGTGTTCAGCAGCAGTGCAAGCCTAAGCTGCTCTTCTTTAACATCTCTTGTGTTCTTTAATCTCACTTAAAATGCAGCTGCCTAAGCAGTAAGATTGGTGGACTGGATTGAGATGAAGTAAAGGAGTTATTTAAGATAGCATTGCCATCCCATGTTATCTGTCAAACCATGTCCAAAGTCTAACTCTGCCAGGCTGGTGCATGCTCTACACCATCTTGCTTGTTTCCTAGATAACTCCTGTTAGGTAAAACACTCGTAACGTTTTGCAAGACTTTTCAGAACAAATGTATCACTGCTTGGCTTTCATATTGCTAAAGTTTTTTAAACATGTGCAGTAGAGATTTTGGTGATGTCGATGCACAGTTCTGTTGTTCTCAATTTCAGAAACCTACATCTCTATTGCACAATACACTAGTAATATATTTTTTGTGCTGAACATTAGTGAATACCCTTATTCATATTTTATAGCACTGAGAGTAGTAGTTGGGAGGTGGGTTGTGTAAAAGCCTGTTTAAACTTAGGTCTCTGGAGGCAGAGTAGAGGTGTTGCTTAACAATCCAGCATACTGTTCATTCCTTGTACCATTGTTGAGTTATTTTCTCCAATTTTTAAACAAAATTGAATGTACTAGATGAGGTTATTTTCAGATCTGTTTTGCACAGGTCATGGTTTTGCACAGGTCATAATTTTGTATATCTCATTGTTTACAGTTCAAGAACTATTTGATATATTTGAAAGAACCTCAAGGATGTCTGTTTTTAATCATTTAAATGCAATTTAATTTTTTTCCATAGGTCTTCCTGTGTTTTCAGAGAATTGCTGCTGACATACTTGGCATCAAATTAAACAAAGCAGAATTGGAACAATCACAGGTGATTTTCCACAAATACATGTTTTTTCTTAGTATTTTATTTAGTATTAAAAAAAAATCTCATTGCAAATTTATAACTGTCCTTTAAAGCAAGCTGCATCTGTTGTTCTGGAGACAATTATTTACTTTTGCAATAGCTTTTTAAAAATATAATAATTCTTTATTTATCCATCGTGATAAACTTGCTGAAACAAGAAAATGTATGTTCAAAAAATTAGGAAAAAACTTTAGTTTGAGAGCTGTTTGTTTCAAAAAAGTACTTAAAATTGTTTTAGAAATTAAAACCTGTAAATGTATGCATATACAGGTATTGTGGATGACACTCATATATACATTAATTACTGTACATTGATGTCAGATACAGTTTTTACGATCATTGTTCTTTTTTAATTCTTTACATATTTAAAAACAAATTTCATTTTAGAACACTACAAATTTAAGTGGTAGAAGGCATAAGCTTCTGTGAGTGGAAATGTTCTAAATCAGTCTTCGTTGTAGTCATACAGGAAAAAATATTATTTGTCAGTCACAGAGTCAGGAATTAACTATGTCAAATCCTGTGTTTGGTTAATCTCAGATTTTAGTTTTCATTGTGTGCCTGTATAATACAGGACAAGAATACTTTTCTCAGTAGTGACTGTGTGCCTCGAGGAAGGAATATTGACTTTGTAGTCACTATTTCCCATTTTATTCTGATGTGCAGATGAGAAATGAATCCTATTCTGGTTCAGCATACCCATTCTCAACAGCAGGCAGACCTGTGGAATCATGCGTTTGGGTAGCTATTACGGCTCCCTGGCATCTGCAATTATTTTTCGTTGTACCAGTCCCAAATAATCTCCCCCTAAAGGAGCTGCATAGTTTCTGCCCTTGCATTTTGTGTTTTGCCCTTTGCATTATGAGTGTTATCGTGGGGATTTTCTGCCATTTCCTCTGCAGTAAGAATGGGCTGAGAGAGAGGAGAATGTTTCCCAGCAATAGGTGGGAAGGTCATCAAGAAGGTTGTCCCCCCATTCTCTTATGTTGGTTAGCAGTGAGTTAGGGATGTGAATATAGCGATTTCACTGTGAACGGATGGCAAAACCCTGCTGCATGTCCTGCTCTGAACTGTAGCAGAGCTTTGTTGCAGTTCATGCTGTTCAGTAATGGATGTATGCATGTTTAAGAGATCAAAAATGTGTTAATTGTTCAAATAAGCAATCAAGCAAGCAGGTTTATTTAAAAGAAAGGCAAAACATTTCTTATGTACAGTTTGGTCTCCTGCTTTTTGAAATATACAATAAATATGTAATTTCTGAAAGTGTTATGCCGCAGCAGTGTTTACAATCTGTGTTGAAGTGGTTAACTAGAAAATTGTATTGCAAACAGTAAAATGGTAAAATATACCTATAGTGCATGCCTAACAGGCAAAGCTAAGGAGCTTCGAAAAGCTGTAATTTATAGGTAGAGAAATATTGTGTCTTTTCAATGATCTTTTACTACTGAGGCACCATCCATCTATTGTTCTAAGCTTTATGATTATTTGCATATAAATAATTCAGCACATAAAGAGTTCTTTAATTTTTCTTTGGTTGTTTAACTAGCACTGGAACATCAGTCTTAGACCTCTCTGTGCTGTGTAGAGTTGTGTTCCGGTGACTCAGGTGTAAGCGTGTAGATGGGTATGCAAATACCTTAAACTAAAAAGAGAATATGAGAAATGGGGTTATACAGAAAATCGTAGCTTTCTAAAGAAAGTGTCTATTTTTAGGTTGTTTTTAAAGTAAGAACCTCTATATAGCCCTGACTCCAGAGTACATAACTTTCTATGTCCAATTGTTACCAGCTTTAAGTAGGCTTCTTCCTACCTTAGTATTGTAATTCCGATTTTTAATTTTCTTGAGCAGATCAATGGAATATGCAATATGTAGATCAGGCAAAGTCGATATTATGCAAATTGCAGTAACAATAGCCAATAAATAGTTAATATGCATAAATTAGATACTCACTGCGGCCCACACATTACTGTTCATGTGAATCCAAGCTATAGTGATTAAAAAAAAAAGGTAACCCCCCAAAAAAACCCCAAGAACCACAACAAAAGTAGAAACAAAGCCAGTAAATGGAGTTGGACAGAAAAGAAACTTCACTGTCACCGTTCAGGTACAGCAGAAGTCGCTATGTGGTGCTACGCTGTGCACGTAGCTAAAGAGTGAAAGCTGGAAAGCAGTTGCCTGACTTTGCAAGGTTCTGCTAATCGTGCATATTTTCAGTCTATTCCGAACAAGCAATAGTTCTTTGTTACCAGTAAAACGTTTGCTTCCTTTCAGAGTGCTATTTTGAGCGGGCCGTAGGAATTGCCCAAATTTAAGTCCGTGAGAAACCAATGGGAATTGTATTGAAGTGTCTGTCTGTTAGCTGTATCTTAAGGTTCATTGTTGTATGGAACCAAATACCTTGGTCACTTCTTAAGACAGGAACGGTAAAGTCTCTACATAAAATTGGAGAAGGAAAACTTTAACCTTCATATCCTCAGGGAGATGAATAGAAGGACATTTCTTGAGAGAAATTTATTAGTCTGCAGTGGAAAAGACTAATTGAAATAATGTGTTGATGCTGTTTCCCAAAAGCATGGAGCTGGTCTCTTGGCTGGAAGGAGGTGGTGTTCGATGATGTTGCCACTACTAGGTTTCTGGTTTACCACAGACTTTTTGTATGGCAGGTACAGGTTCCTTAGCGTCGTGGTGGGTTTTTTTTTTCTTTCTTTTCCCCATCTGTAAAATGGGCACAGGGCTTCCATAAATTGTGGAACAGTTACATGAATGCGTTCCTTAAAATTTTTAGGCATTTAATACTCTAGCTATGAGACTATAAAAGTAGATAGATAGATAGATAGATGGATGCTAGATAAATGCTACAAAGAAACAAATAAAAATTACAATAGTAAGTATGACTCATCCTTAAATCAGTAAGTATGCAAGTGTTGACTTAGGTTTAATTTTTAAACAAAGAGTAAAATACATTTTAGTTTTTACAGATGTGCACTATTTACATGCTGGATTATATCTTTGAATTTTCCATATTTTGCGTAATGTGAGGTTTCCTCATTTTGAAAAATGAGAACGTTGTTCCTTGAATATGTTTGTCAGAGAACATCAGATGTCTTCATTCAGTCTAGGTGGTAACAAAGTATAAGATGAAATACTGAGTTTGTGTAAAATGCCAACAGTGAAATTCTGTATGTGAATTATGTTTTATTATGCATGTCTTCATTATTACTGATTGTCTAATATTGAGAATACTCTTTAAAAATTATTTCTCGCATTTTTTATTTTATGCCTGAAGATCATATTTCTTGTGTTTAAAATCAATTATAATTGTCACAGTCACTACGAAGATCTTAGAATTGACTCACAGGTGGTTAGAAATAAGTGATAGGAATCCCAAATGCATTATTTTAACTTGTATGAATTTGTGGGGCTTGACTCATGACTTTTGAGCTTTGATGACTGGCAGAACTGCAGAAGCTCTTGTGAAAAGTGGATGGGGTTCTTGGTCCCCTTCAAATTAACAGCAAAACTTCTGTTAATAAACTGCAAGAACAAGCCTTAGAAATTGAATTATTTACCATGCATTGTTTTAGAAAACAGCTGCAGCAGTCTAAGATATTAATGCAACCCAAGCTATTTGTTACTGCCCTTTTGCTGGAATTTATCACTCCCACAGCAGAATCAGAAAATGGAAGGTGATCATGTGCCTTGGCCACATCAGGGTGAAGTTGAGCAGCTTAGCTTAAACTGCTGCTGAAAGTTGTTTTTAAGTGAAGCTGCCAGACTTTGTGCTGAAGCGGATGAGGTGCAAGTACACGTTACATTCCACCAGCTCTCCTTTGGCAGCAGTGATCTCCAGCAGAGGAATAGGACAGACATTTGGGGGTGGTAAGTTTTTAAACTATCTCAGCTAGAGCTACTAAACCTTGTCTGTTAACATGCTGAGATGACTGTTAATCAAACCTTTATTTGGTCAAAACTGTGGTGAAACAAAGAACTAGATTACTCTTTATGCGTGACTGGAAAGTAGAGCATGTTTTTGAAGTGGAACAGTTCCAAAGTAAGAAAATTGCAGATTCTGACTTATTTTCAGTCCTCAAAATACTCTCCCTTTTAAATCACAAGAATCTGATGAAATTTGAGGAAATAGCTCCTTTACGAATCAAATGTTTTTCTTTCTGTATTTTTTACTTTCAACCATAGTGTAAAAACTGCATGGGGTACAGCTTTGTTCCTTGGCATTGGCAAGAGCTAGCATTTTTGTAAGTGATGTGTAGTTTTCTCTTTAACTAAATGCCAGTTCAGCAAACTAGGGGGTGTGTGCCAGCTTTGTACAATAAAATGTTTGGCAGATAAGTCAGATCTGGAATTCAGAGCACCTGCACCAAGAAGGGTTATTTCTCATTATTGACAGTGGTTTGAACCATGGCAATGATATGCCTGACATAGAAACTGATACAAATAAGCCAAAGTTTTTAATTACCATGAAGTTAATAAAAGAAATGTTGCAGTAGTATTTTTTTTTACTCTTACTTAGATGAAATTCCTTTAGAAAATCCAAGTCATTTATGATAGTCAGTTTCTTGCTACAGCGTGCCTAAGCACGGGTCACTAACCTGCCTGTGTTTACAGGATGGGATTTAGACCAATGTTTTGAGGAACAATTAATTGCCTACTGATTGCAAAGCTTCCCCCCCCCCCCTTCAGCTCTAGTCAAAAGAAGAAACTAGGTCCTGTGAGGTCAGATAACACTGTTTAATGCTAAAACTCCTACTACCGCCTTACATGGGATTTGGCAACCTTTCCCTTGATAACATCAGGCCAAGAGTCCAGTAAATCATGCGTTGTCCACTAGATAAGATAATATGAATGTGATCAATTAAACTCAAGAAGAGTACATCAGCAGCTAATAAATCCAGATCCCTTACCAACCAATTCAATTATTGTTGCTTGTTTGACATAGAGGTTTTATTTACAGAGGTGATCTTTAACATATCCTGTTTATGTATTCATATAATAGAGTTTATATATTGTTTCCTTTAAAATAGTAGTATTTATTCATTTAGCCATAAATTTTAACCTTGAAAATATGTTATGTAAAAGTTGAAGTAAGTAAGAATTTTTTCTTAAATCATTAAACTGGTTTAGGGTATCTTTCATAGCAGATCTACCTCCTCTGTTACTTCTTTGCTGAAATTGTTCTATGAATTTTTCTCCCCTTTGCATGAACACTGCATTAATAGTGAGAAAACTTTCAACAGTTTTGTTTGTCTTTAAGGGGAAAAGTGAGAGCCTTTTATTTATATATGAAGTAAAAAAAAAATGCTTTGCAGCATTTAGATGTGAGGTTGTTCATTTATGTCACTGATTATATATTTAGTTATAATGCGATAGTTATGTAATGGAAAAGATGCATGTGTGCATCTAATGAACTTTTTACAATTGTTGATAGGAAGCTGACTAATGTAATATTTAAGTACCCTAGACTTAAAGGAATAGGCCATTGTCATCTTTTTTTCCACTGAATTGCCTTCCTTTTTATTCTGTCCCTTCTCTTGCTTTAATACGCTTCCGTTGATTGCACGTATGAATATATCACTTTGGTGCTTTGAAAGGGCATGTCCTTGAAGAAGCTTGAGAAGCAGCCCTGATGCTGATAGTGACGCTTTCAGCTAGACATCTTGCTCTTGTATCAGCATAAGGCCTGAAAAGAAATGCACTTTCATTTTGCTTCTGCATAGTCTTTTTATGTCATTCATTCATGCTTTTCAACTACTGATCAATCTCTCCATTTTTTTTTCCTTCTCTTTTCTTTTTACATTCTTCTCCTTGCCCTCTATCCATTATGTTGATGCATGATTAACAGCATGTTGTCAGGGCAGAACTAGTGAAATATCCTGAAGAAGATAACCAACATCACACCACTTCCAGCTGCCAGAGCAAAGTCTGCTCAATGCAGTAGTTCAGGTATTGATGGAAAACTTGGGGTTTTTTTCAAGCTGCATTGCTTTTACATGAAGTAACAACTGTTACAGTAAGTTCTATTGGAAAAATATATTTTGTATATGTAAGCACTTGTAATACTTAACATTAATTTGGAACTCTGTGTACAATTACATGGTGTTTCTAATAACCAGATAGTTCATAGAAACTTTGAAATACTTCATGTTACTGTATTAGGAAGGTCCTTCAGTGCTGTATATTCAAAACGTTACATAGCTGCCTCAGGTGAAAATGGACACAAAACTGGAATCTCATTTTCTTCTCATATAGGAGAGACCAACAGTCTTATCAAATGCTTTGTAAATAGAATGGGTAATATCTGTTGGATCTGTATTAGAAAATAAATATTTGTGGTATGCAGAGGTTCTTTTAATGCTAATTGAGTCTTTAGTCAGTCCGCCTATCAAAGCTTTTTTGAAATATGGTTGTGTTTGAAATTTGCTTTGAATTCTGTCCATGTTTTCCTGTGAAGTGCTTGGAGTAAAGACGGAAAGACAAACTTATGTACAATTTCCAATTATAGTTTAGGCAGTTATTCTTAAAGAATGCATACCATAGTCTTTGTAAACTAATATTGTTTTATTATTTCCATACAAAACAATTTTCATGGAAGTAAAACTGTATTCATTGCTTTTGCAAAAAAGTCATGTTCCATTTGTAGTGTTGTGAAAACCTACCAAGGCACTTCCTTCTGCTTAGTATGGATAAACTGGTATTTAGAATGAGAATTAGCACCTGATAAGACTTTCTGTAAGGTAATGAAAAAACCCCTAAATAGTGTCTGTTTTGCCTCATCTTTTTCCCTCCATATTTCATAGTAAAATATCTGTTGAATGCTTTGCCAGCGTGAAGATTATATTTTCTGATTGTTACTATGTTTTCTTTTATGACAGAGGGTGGTGAAGGCAGATATTGTCAACTACAGTCAGGAGCCTGTGACAAGAACCATTAATCCTCCTAGAAGCTCAATGTGTGCAGTTCAATGACCATGTTATTCTTCCCTGTTTTGATACCTTTGGCGGTCCTCCTACCTTGGCACAGGCTCTGGGATTACCAGGAAATTTGTTTTAACAGTGACCATCGCAACAATGCAATTAGAGGTTTCAAAAACGTGTTGCACCATTGTATGTTGAGAAGCAGTGGGCAGTTTTTTGGCTGGCCGAAATTCAAATACGAGACCACACACTTTGAAAAATTAAGATATATATTCTTCTAAATTATATTTAAATAAAACAGTATAACTGTGTTTATATGTTTCCTCCTACCTATTTGACTGATACTGGAATAAAACTGGATGAAGAAGTCCTGCATTCAGAATACTTTTAAAGACATCACCATGGAAGGGTACTTTGCCAAAGCATTTCAAAATTTTTTTCTCTTTTTTTTCTTCTGTGATCTGAACTGACACTCAGCAAAATGTAACTTGGAAAAGCTACTGCTGGAATAATTTTAAGCACGTAATATATTTTATCTAGGGATAATTTGGAAAGTATTCCATTAATATATATACATAGTGCAAAATGTATAAATCGTATCCAGTAAGAAACAGTGCTTGAAATAAAGCTGTAATACAAAAATAGTTATTTTTCTGAAGTCTCAAGTTGTCTCCATGGATGCTCTGAAAAATGCTAGTGTGTTTGTGTATTTTTATTAGCACGTCAGCATTACTTCTTGCAGTAGTAGATATGCTCATATGTCTTCATGAATATGGATGAACCTCAGTCAACAGTTTGGGCTGTGAACGTTGAGTGATATATTCAGCATGCATTAGAAACTGTTGATGGATCAATTAGGATCAGTCATTTTTTAATAACTAGCTGAATGACTTTTGGCCTGGTACTCTTTTCTTTCTAGTTCAGAGTAAACGACAAATAAAAAGCTGTCTGCTCTGTGATCATCACATTTCTCCTCTGTTCCTTTTATAACAGTCTCTTTTAGACATGCAGTTCTCTGCTGGCACATCTGAATAGAAAGCTAAGGAGAGAAAAAAAAAATTAAGCCAACTTGATTCCAAACTAGAAATCTTTTCCTGTTTTAACTCTAGAATGTGTTTTCTTATAAAGTACAACAAAAGATTTGGAGGTTTAGAAAATTAATGAGGCTGAGTGAAGGAAGCTTGTGTATCACAAGTGAAAATGATAACGTCCTTCAAGTGAGTGTTCCTATTAAGCTGTTCAAGCAAGTGCTTAATGGTTGGAACTAGCAAACTATTAATAGTTTAATAAAACAGTTAAACTATTTAAACTATGTTAAAAAAAAAAAGATTGCAGATGGCAAAAATGTGCTATTTGTTATTATTTTGGTATATTCCAGGTTCATTGAAAAGCTAAGTTCATTTTTAAACCATTCAACATGCAGCTTGACTCATAGTTTTATAATTACACGATAATGACTTTGTGTTGTAATTTTTTATCATTCAAATGTGGGAAATTCTAAGAAACAAGCTGAGATACTGAGAAATTATTCTACACTAAGGTAGGTGTGAATTTGCAGTAAATTATTTATTCCAGGGTTACAGTCTGTGTTCATGCTCCTGTCCCACGGAGTTCCTGTCCCGCTGCATAGCTTTACCTTACAGTTAAATGCAACTGACAGGTGAGCTATCTTCCACTACCACCAGATGAGAACTAATGCTCAAACAGTTTTTCTGAAGTAGCTGGTAAGTTTACAAGTTTGTGCCCTCCAAAGCATGTGGTAAGTTCTTCTGAACCCTCAGATTTCTTGGTGTGTTTGTGTCCTGAACTCTGCCCGTATGTTCAAATATTCATGAGAACTGCCCCCTCTCTGAGGAGCTGAGCACAACCTGGCTCAACCTGATGGCTAGAGCCATCTTTCTGTAGTGCATGTGAGTCAACTTCATAGTCCTGCTTCCCGAGTAATATGTAGCATGGTCTTAAAAAACAAACAGTGCTTTTCTCTTAAAAACTTCTGTAATCTTACTTTTCAGAAGAAAATGCTTTTTCGTAACTTGATACGCAAAGCCCGTTATTGCCCTGAATAATAAAAACATTTTGGTTTTACATCTGGGGTAATCCTGCAGCATGAAGGCTGTGATACCTGTGCCAGTCCAAGCTGTTTTACAGATGGATTTTATGCCTCTGTCTCATCACGATCTTTTATTCTCAGTGCCTGTTTTTCTGTCTGTCTTTGACTTGTACATCCTTTTGTGTTTTATTCCCATTGATCTTTTCACCGTTTTCTATGTTAAAGCCCTACCTCCTCTGAAGATATTTTTGTTTACATTTCCAAGCTGCTCTCATTCTTCCTCCCTAACATACATGTATATTATTTACGCTAACCAGGAATATCTTGTCTTCTGTGCCCCCAGCCTCTCCTGTTGCTGCCCCTCTTAACCTCCTCAGATTTTCTGTATTGTATACTGACTTCCACTCTCCCTGCCTTTCCCTAGCCTTCCCGCCCCATTTAGATCCATTACCTGTCCACATTTTAATCCTTACAAATGAGCTTTGCTCTTTTTGCTCAGCCCTGGGGACCCCACCTTGAGCCTTCGGATTCCAGCTGCAGTCTAAATCCTTAGCTGTGGTAGCTGCCTTTGAAGTGCTGCAGCAGCTGCGGTTGAAGATTCAGGGGTGCCTTCGCCATCAGTGCGGCCCAAGTTCCAGCAGGCTGAGCAGAAAGGTCAGAGATAATTCTGGAGGATTAAGCAACATGGAGAGGGAGCAGACACTGTTCTGCGGGGAAGGCAAGGGCTCTCTGGAGACTGGAGGGATAGAAACAAATTTAGTCAGAGAGGTGTGTAGGGGGAGGCAGGTGAGCCACCGCCCTGTGCCCGGTCTCCTTCCGTAAATAGTGTCCCACTACGGATCCACACGATTCACATATGGTGGAGTTTAAGCATCTGCCATATTAATGCACTTAAAAGTGTTTTGCAAGGTGAGAACTGGTTAAAAGCAATTCAACAAGCAGTAATGAAGTTAAATAATGCAACGCTTTCCAAAAGTAAGGCGACAGATGCTTAATGTCCATTGACATGGGGAGCGGGCTGGGGCAGGGGGGAAGCATGTTTTTTCCTGAAGCTGAGGCCAGATGAAGGGAAGAAGCGTGTTCAGGCCCTGATCTTACACAGATCCACACTGGTGAAGTGATCTGCCTGCTCAGAGCTGTTGTAACTAATCATTTCAGTAACAGCTCCCCAGCTGAAAATTGTTTCTAAGTTCAGCTCCTCGCTAGGGTCAGTCTCATGTGATGTGGTGGATACCAATTGGTGCATTGTGTCTGGCTGTATGTTAGATTACCAGTGCTTTTAAAACATGTATTTGAAGCGTTATTAGACTCATGCAACTTCTTACCTTTTGCGGTTCTAAAATTTGGTGGTGTCAAACTGAATCTCTTTCACAAACAGGAGTGTGAAGGTATTTTCCCTTACGACCAGCTGCTGTGAGTGCCAGCACCTGCAACGAGTTCATGATCTCCTCTCTGAATACTTCATTCTTTTGACAGTTCATAAAAGTTATGAAAACACACGAGGCTTCTTTTTAACCAGAATAACTTTAAAAAAAAAAAGTTTTAAAGGACACATACAAGGTCACTAGAAAAATTATGTGAAGTGTGTTCTTTTCAGGAATTTGAAAATTGTTGGTGCTATCTGCATCATTAGGCATCTATTTAACAAAAAAACCCTGCTCCATAAAGCACTGTTTGGGTTTCACCGGAACTAAAGGGCTTTTGGATCAGGTGGCTTCTTTTAAATGCAGAGCTAATTTGCTTGTCAGAGTAAACGCTGGCAAATGCACCTGATAATGAACCTGGTAGCCAAAATTTTGTAATAATTGTATGATGAAAAATATCACAGTAATATTTAAAGTTGGCTATTCTTTTGCTTTTTGATCATGATGGCAATTTAAATAAGTTGAAATAATATTTTTCCTTTTTACATTTATTTTATGTTAGGAATATGGTTGCTTTTTCACAAAAGAAGGTTTGTAATCTTTGTTTCATGATGACCGTGACCCTTTCATACAAGTTGTAGTAGAGAGTACTGTTTAGAAGGTGTCCCTGTTTCATGTGTTGATCGGAGGCCTAAGATTTAGGTGTCGCTGGGAAGAGCGACCGAGGGAAGTGGCGCTGAAGCCTTGTCGCTATGTACCTGTGCCGTGCTGGGATCGCTGCGCTGAGCTGGCCCAACAGCTGTAACTGACTGAAAGCAAAACAAAATCCCCCATAACTTCTTGTCTTCAACCCTTTCAAAGTAAATCTTAGTGTATCTAAATAGAACTGTCCTGTCCATGTTTTGTCATCATTGACAGAAGATTAAATTGCTGTTCCTTAACATAATTGACAATTTTATAATAACGGGAAATTTTCTGCAGGAGAATTTTTCCTATTTAGAATACTTGCATTCATTTCTGATGTAGCTTAAGAGTTTGTGTGAGGGGCCTGATAGATGTATTTAAAGCAGCATTGACTTTTATAGAAATTATATTTACAAAGCTGATGTGATTAGCTACTTTTCCTTCTGGAATTTGAGCATTATTTCCCAAGCAAAGAGGTTACTCTACAACGTTGTATTCTTTTCTTTCTCAGTTCAAGTACTACTGCTTAACATATCATCTGATTTCTTTAGGCTGTCTTTATTTAAAACCGACTCATAACCACTTAAAATGTCAAAATAGCTGAATGCTGCTGAAAAGAAAAAGCCGGAATTTATCCATGTTTGCACAGGGGTAATGGCATACATATGAGATTAAAACTCCAGTCCAGATAATTATCATAGGAAGCAAATTTATACTCTGATTTCAGATGCTATGAATAGAATGTGATTAGAATTTAATGTGCTACAGTTTTATTTGCAAAATACACAGGTCCTATATAAAACCTCTTTTTATAAAGTACTCTCTGGAAGCCTTGGGGATCCCTGTTTAACTTGCAAATGCCGAAGTTTGATCTTCCCCAAATAGAAGATAGTGAAGCTCCTGAGTTCCATGAACTGCTTTCTATTTTCAGCTTTCCATAGAGAGCTGACTGTTCAGCCAATTTAAACTTTTTTTTTTCTACTCCACTTCATCTTCGTTCATTTTGGCACCATTTTGAACTGGAAAACTTCCAGTTAGCTAATTGGCCATTTGCCTTGTTTTATGTGGGGGTGATGTCAAGTGCTGAAATAACCAATTGACTGAAAGCAATCTTGTTTCAAAGGTTGGTCAGAACCAAACCTCAGAAGGTACCAATTTCAGGTTTGTTTTGTATTTAACCGCTACACAGGGTTCCTTATCCTAGTGGACGAACCTTGGAGAAGAATATAGATTTGAGGTCAAGAGCTTGTGTTTGCTCCGATACCACATTTAGAGCACTGAATTCTGCAGGAAATAGGAATCCAGATCTTTTTTTAATTTCACTTTCAAGAGTCTCTCTACCTCTACTCTCTCATGTCATATTGGCAATCAATATTTTTATAAAAATATTGATTCAAGTCCCCATTTAAAAAACAAAATGTGGTAGTTATACTTTGGTTCAGGAAGGTTTTTCTTTTAAGGATAAGTGGAAAAAACTGCTTGTGTTGTATGAGGTATCACTGGCATAGGTGAAGGTGTTTAATACACATTAAAAATCATCTTTACTTGTTATGATCTGCTAAATATCCTATATTCTGCTTTCTACTTATTTAAAATATTCTTCAGAATGGTAATGATTACAAATACAAAATAAAAGACCAAACTGTTCTTAACTAATTTGTGCCTCAGAAAACTGGTCCTGCAAACTGCTCCAGGCAAACATTTTTTTCTTTGCTAGCTAAACTCCATTTCTGTCCTTTCCTGGGCTGATCCATACCAGGTAGCTTGCAGGATCATGACCTACTAATCCTTTTTGATTTCTGGTGAACTTTTAAAAACAAAGTAGACCAAGAAACATCAAAGGAGGATTTAAAAGACACAC